ATGGCCAGTAGGTTATCGGCTCCGAGGACTGGCTTCCCGTTGATGTTCGGTGCCCGGTATCCGAACCGGGGGATCAGGATCGTGCGGTGGAACTAGCCCAGCCCATGTCAGCATGATTGTAGAACTGTCGGCTACCGCAATCAGTAGATACCTTATACAGCTCTTTCGCATCATTCCTGTCCATGTAGCGACCGGCGACGGTGGTGTAAAGCTGCTGAAACTGCCGGATGTATACCTGCGTCGTACCCCAGGATTTGATTTTCCCTATCGACCACTCGCTGATCCGGAGAAAGAAGCTCATCATTGTCTCGCGACTTACGTTTTCCAAGGCCGCTTGCCATTCACCGAGGTTCTGCTCTTGACAGTAACTATTGTTATACAGGTCAGCCAACAAGGAAACAAGCATGAGATCCACGCGGCGAACCGTTTCCATTTCCTGCATACGACCGCGATATTGATCTCGGTTTCGTCTGCATATCTCGGCTTGATGAAGTTGACGTTCTTGAGCTGCTTGCGTAGGTCGGCGTGCTCCTCAGCCGAGAACGGCTTCGGCTGGTTCGCGATCCGACGTTGTGTTTCTTGGTCGGTAAACCGCTTCAAAAAGTCAACAGTTGCTTTTGTTTGTTGAGGTCGACAATCGGCGAGCATCGGCTGGGACATGGCTGCGAGATGGTCGCTCGTCGCAGCGGCAGAAGAGGGGTCGTGAGCGTGTACTGTACTGAGTCGAGAGAAGACGACAAAAGACGACAGGCACGACGCCGCTCTTTATGGTGGGTGGCGCCATTGCGTCAAGCAGAACCTGAACAGCCTGAGCAGCCAAAAATTGCTTCAACGAATGCCAGAAAGCGAGGGAGTTGGGAAGAACAAGCAAGTGGTGGCTTGACCGACGGGCAGGGTAGAAGGGAAGGAGATGGAAGGCGCTTGGACAAAAAGCAGGGGCGCACTGCCATGACCAGGTTGCGGGCGTTGGAGGGAGCGGGACGAAGTATTTAATACCTGGCAGTGTCCGCCCCTCGCCCCGCTCCCTCTCACTGCTGGTGCCGCCTAGAACGGCGGCACTTCCCACCGGATTCGGCGGCCCTAGCAGCGACTTCTCGCTTTTAG